TCATGCATGGTGCTGACCCAGAGAAGCACCTGCTCACCCTCCTCTTGGCAAGCACTCTCTGTCCCTCCCTGCTGCTCAGCTGTGGTGGCAAAGTCTGGCTGCTTCATGCGAGGCAGTTCATGACCCCCCCCGACCCCCATCCAGCTTCCTTGCCAGGTAAACTGACATTGACAGCAGCGCAGGGAAACAGATGACAGCTGTTGAAAGTGCTGGCAGCTGTTGTCCTATCATGAACTACGTTGCCCCCTTTGCACTTCCAAAACAACAGACAGTTCTTGGGAAAACATTTTTTATTCTCTAATGTACTTCCAGTAAGCACCACCAGCAGAGTATGCACAGAGTTGTTAGTTGAACCTCTTCTATCAACTACTTCCCAAAATGATCCTTTTGAGTACCCTCACCAGAATGGCCCTTGGAGGTGGGCAAGCCTCTTCTCTGTCTGTCACTCCTCTAGCTGGCTGACCTGTCTCTTCCAGTGTCACATCACAGTCAAGAGTCGTACCATGCTCAGCTGGCTAAAGGAGTTTTTCTCCCATGTCCTTCCCTGCAGCTGTAAATCCTGTTTTTAACATCTGCCTGAACATCTGGGGAGGGCACCCTCCAGATGAGCCCCTCCACTTCTTTCAGTTTAACAACTGTGAACTTTCCTAGGGCCCCTTGTTATCTGACAAATCTATTTGACCTTATGTGCCAAGCATAACTTCTCCCTTCATTCCCAACACTTCCCCATTCCTGTGGTTTTCAGGAGTCCCCTGGGCAACTTTAGCCCAGCATGCCTATTTATTTATCACATGTTTATACCACTATATTATATCTAGCCACCCTGGGATCCATGTTCTCCAAACCTACTCAATGGTGAGAGACACACAGCAAGGCATGTGTTGCATGCACCTGCTCCCTGACTTATTGATGCTTGTGGGTGCTTTACACAGCATCATAAAAACAAAGCAAAAACAAAACCATCCTATGCATATTTGCTCAAAAATAGGTCCCCTTGTGTTCAGTGGGTTTACTCCCAGGTTCTTTGTGTTGAGGATTTCATCCTTCAAGCCATTCTGGCTTAAGCACCAGCATCCTGAACTGAGAAGACTATATTCCTCCCAGTTGCCTATGACTGACTGAGCTTCCAGAAGCCACTGAAATTAAAAGCACAGGATGAAGATCCTTTTAACAGCCCCCCCACCCACAGTCCCCTCCTGCTTTCAGTATCAACTGCATTCTCTGGGTATTTATCAAAGCAGCTCTGTGAAGAATGCCCCGCAATAGTCCTTGAGCTCATGAGGAAATGGATGTTTGCCACATTCTTCATCTTTTGATAAGGCCATTTTCATTTGGCTCTGAAGCCTCCCACTTCTCTAAGTGTGTGGGTTTGAACAGCACCCATCAAAACTGCTCCATAAACAGGATTAAACCTGAGAATTCAGCGGTTTAATCCTTTATATAGAGTGGTAGTGTTAGCACATTCTCCAGAACCGTGGTGGAAAACAGTTTAATACTGTTTCCCAGAAAGATGATTCAGCTACTTGTTGAAGTTTATTCATGGTAAAACAACAAACTGATTTAGGAACTATTGTGGATATTTAGTATAAACAACGCTTGTAGGTCACCAATCATTTTGCTGCATGGCAAAAAGAATGCCTTCTAGAATTACAGGCCCAGAATTATAGAAGAAGTGGTTCTATTTTCTTTCAGCCATAGATGGTTAACACATTATGGGCAGTATCCAGTGGGGTACAACTGCTAACATAAATTGCATGGTTCTAGCATAAACTGCATTTTACACAATGCCAGTAGTGCTGGATGGCATGCTGAATTTTCTGGGCCAACACAGTATGACAGCTTATACAATTGGTGTTACACTAGATAGTATAGGTTAGTGCAATGTCATTTACATTAGCAGTTACACCACCCTGTCATAATACCTGCCTTCCGCTATTATGATTGTATTGCATATATGCTGCCTTTCTTCCTCTTGCAAGGAACCCAAGAGGGCTTACAAGGTTCTCCTCCTCTCCATTTTATGCTCACAACAACCACCACCCTATAAAGTAGTTTAGACTGAGAGCCTGTGACTGGTCCAAAGTCATTCTGTGGCTGGGTATAGACAACACAACAGCCTGGTGATTTTTTACCATTGCTGGTCTGTTGTGTTATCTGAACCCAGTCATGGTATTTTAACTATGGTAAGTTTGGTCTTTGGAAACCATGATAAGAAACCATGGTTTGTTCTGTTTTCTCTGTTCCACCATGGTTTGTTGCATTGTCTGAATCCAGGAGCATAGTTTACCACAGTCCTGGTATGCAACTAACACAGTGGACCCTGGGAAGAGCACGAGCTGCTCCAGTCACCCAGCCCCTATGTGTGAACGAATGAGAAAGAGGCAGGTGACATAAACAGGGAGTGGTGCACCCTGGGATTGAATTTCAGCTGTGGAGCCTGATGGGATTCCTGCTACCACTGGGAGGAATGAAGAAGGAAACTACATGATCATCTAGAAGCCTCAATCAAGTATCCACAGTACATGATTTAGCATTACATGTGAATGCAGCCTCTGTCAGGTAGAATGTGATTTTAAAGATGCCATGCAGAATTGCTTGTTTTGTTGTGTTGAACGCAGTCAGGTCGTTTCATAGCTGAGTAGAGACCAGAACCCAGAACTACCAGATGCCAGTCCAGCATTCTTAACCACTATACCACACGGGATCTCATTCACGTGTAGGCAAATAGATTGCTTAGATTTTGAACTTATTTGCAAGGCTGGCAAACACTATCTCTTTGCTTGAAGCTTAAGGACGATTACAGTGTAACATGGCTAGTTAATATTTCCCACAGTAACCCTGAATACCATCAGCTAACTCTTTCTCTGCCAATGGATCCTTATGAAGCCAACGTGCTACAGTTACCTGTTGTGGGGAGAAAAGAGCACTCTCTGTGAGCACAGAATGCTTGGTGCCTGTCTGGGGTGGGAACAACAAAAAACTAGTGGGAGAACAATGGAATGGACTATGCAGAAGAAAGTGCATGGCTTACTTGCTGAAATTCCAATTGGGAATACTTCATAGCACATTTTTTTGCAAGTCCCACTTTCACAACAAATTAAACACAGTGACCATGATCTAGTCAAAGCAAAACATCAGACCTATTGATTTCACTAAGGTTAGGCAAATTAGGTTGGGATGAAAGTGTTAATTATATTGAGCAAAACAGATACATTTCAATTTATCTGTTTTGCTCAATATAGACAACATAATTTATTTACAGAGGCTGTATCCCCTCCCAGCAGTGGAAAGCTCTGCTCTTCAGTCAGCAACTGATCAGATATGAGAGTGCAGTCAGAAAGGGAGCCTTTGTGCAATGGAGAGAAACTTAGCTCCAATCAGGTGCTGATTGGAGAGAATAACATTTCCTGGAAGAACCAGCAGGACTGAATCACTCAGTGTATTTTTGAGGCTTGCCCTACTTGTGAGAAGATACAATGCTCTTGTTTGCTTCTGGGAACACATGCAAAGGTTTGGTACTTAGGAAGCTATTTGAAAGTGCTGTGGAGTGATGTAGTACTGCTTACTGGTTAGCAGACATGGAGAGGTTTATCCTACTTATTTGTAGTGTCAAGTGTGAAAAAAAATCCAGAGTCCACTGGATGTGCACAATCAAAAGAACATTTACAGTTTATTTAGGCATACAGGAAATACATGTGGCATGTAGGCAGTCTCCAAAGAGATGACAATGATAGAGCCCCTACAAGATGCATTTATAACCAGTTACATACACAGTTTGGAGGAGGGGTTAGGGAAAAGGATGTGGATCAGGTACACAGGATAGTAGAGGTACATTCGAATAAAACAAAAGGGTTGGATGAGATTAGGACAACACTGAGAAGAACCTTGAGGAAAGATATTAACATGTCTAAACCCCCCTCCCCGGCCAGGGGAATACCTTTCAGGACAGGATCATTAGCATTTCAAGGCATACCTGGGAAGCAAGATTTGTAACATGGATTCCTGGTCAAATCAGGAATCCCATCTTAATTCTAAAACTGTTCTTAACAGTGTCAGGCTTTTAGCAGCCATGTTATGGCAGAGCTTTCACTCATTTTGCCCTGACAGTAGGTAGACCTGCAGAGGTATTTGGGCAGTAAAGTACTATTGAGTGATTTAGTCCTGCTTATTTTTGAGCAGACATGTTGTCCATGCTTCTGAGCATAAATGCACCCCTCTGTTTACTTCAGAGCCATCTTTAAGCGCCAACCACTCTGCCACCCTTAAGCTTTCCCATATTGGAATTTGGTCCTTAATCTGAAAAAGGTTTCCCACTCTGGTTTATGCCTTCTGATCCTGGCATTCATCCTAATTGCTCTGCTGATTATTATACTATCGTGCAGGTCAAATAAAGGAGGTATGAAAGACAGTCAAGAAACATAGGAGAGATTTCATATCATTCAATGCTTTCGACCTCAGTGATTCACTCCCCATCGGAACCATTCTGCTTACGCGAGTTTATTACGCCCCTCTGTGGTCCACGTGGCTTATTGCAGAGTATTGCAGGCTGTTTCATAAGGCACTCGTAATGCGCGCGCCGAGGCATTTCTCGAGACTTCCTAACAAAGCGCGCTTCTTCCTGCGCCTGCGCCAGGTTGGCTCCGTGAATCGTGGGAGGGGCGCCGCGCGCTCGATCGACAACGTCCCGCCTTCCTGCTGATGCCACCCATCCATCATCCTCCACTCTTTGACCTTGGAGCGTGAGATTGCTCTTCAAGGACCCAAAGGGCTGTTCTGCAATTTGCCTGTTCATGAAGGACAGGGTCTGTTTGCATTATGGACAGTAAGAAGAAGGGGGGGGGGATCTAAACGGGAACCTGAAACTGAGTATTTAGCACTGGAAACAAGTACTGAGGAATATTTTTCCCGAGATTGTTCTGACTAAGTTCAGGCACTTTATGAAAGCAGCTATAAAGCAAGTGAGGCCCCCTCGCTCACGCTCCGCCGTCGTACCCACGTGGGTTCGAGGCTTCCAGAAAGCAGCCGTCGCAGCCGCGCGCAGCCGCCTTCCTGCCCGCCTTCTTCCTTCTGCGGCCTTGTGCCTGCTGCTACCATGCTGAACGCCGCCCGCCTGCTCGTTCTGCGCCGCGGAGGGGCCGCCGGGCCTGCCCAGGTGCGACATGCGGGACGCGTGGGGGGAAGGGGGGCGCCTGGACGGAGAGAACTGTTCGTCCCTTTCCAGGCGGGGAGGGTCAAGAAAGCTGGGTGGCCTCGTTAAAAGGGCCCCGTTGCCGGGCTTTCACCCCGCGGCTCTTAGAGATAGGTTGTCTGCAAAGGTGGAGGGTCCGCCTACTTCGCAGGGTGAGCGGCTGCTGCTGCTGAAGATCGGAATGGGCCGTGACTTTGTCTTTTTCTTTTATAACGGAGACAAGCTGGTGCTTTCGCTCTCCGGATTTTTACTTCAGTTCCAGTCAAACCCTGCAGCATGACCCATGGACGGGATTTGCAGTTCAACACATGTGGACGGCCCCACGTTTCCTATCCTGGTTATAGAAGAAAATTGGTAGAACTTATGTTTTGTGAGGCCTAAAAGCCCATTAAGTCCAGTATCCTGATTCCACCACTGGCCAAGCCACATTTTTAAAATCATGCCCAGCAGTAAAGCACGAAGGCAGCAGTCCTTCCTTGCTGTTTGCCCTTTTTTCTGTCATTGATAATCCGATGCAACTGTCTTTGAACATGGAAGTTTCATTTTGTTAGTATGGTTAATAGGTGCGGGTGGGTTTGTTCCCATCAATTTGTCAAATTCTCCTTGAAAGCCATGTGCAAGGGCATGTGAAACGATGTTGATTTAAATCAAGGTTGTGGTTTTTTTCCTTATTGATATCATTTGATACCTGAATTGTTTGGGCATGGGAGAAGAGTAGCAGCTCTGATGCACTCCAAATTAATTGAAGAGGACCAGTTATTTTTACTGGCTTGAGGCCTCAGGCATGTCTAGTGACTTGCATGTTCTTGCACAGCTAGGCATTGTGTGAGGAAGCACGTGTTTCTGCTGGTTGGAATTCCATTGCTTTTGTTTCCGTGAACTGCTAATTTGGCATGCCTGTGAGGTAATGGTGGGACCTCTGGCTTAAATGAGGAGAAAGTTCTGTTCTGATCTTCATTTAATACATAGCAAAGACTTTTTTGTAGTTTTGTTAGCAAATACTACTTTTCACTCTACCAAAAAGAAAGACAGTGTTTAAAAATATGGTTACAGGTTTTTCAGAAAGTAGGAATGGTAAAGGTAGTCAGGTTAGAACAATTGAGACCTACAGGTTGTATGATGATGCAAGGTTCTGTAGATGTTGCACCTGTCTAGAAGACAGACGTTATCTAGAAGATAGGAGATCTTCTAGAACTAAAAAATAACCCGAATTACTTCTATGAGAACATTTTCTGTGCAGAAGAGGATACATAGTTCTGTACAGTTGTATCTCTAGAATGCAGAGCTGTTCAGCAGTGCTTCCTTGATATATCTTTAAGGCAGCCTTCATGTGAGGCCTTCCAGATATGTTAGACCACAGCCACCATTACCCACAGCCAGTGTCTGGTTGGGTTTAATGGCTGTGGTAGGCTAGCACGTCTGGATCATACCAGCTTGGGAAATGCTACTACAAGGATGAAATCCTATGTATTTTTACTTGGGAAAAAGTCCTGCTGAGCAAGTATACATATGGCCAAGATATAAATCTTTGTGCCCTGCCTGCTATAGCACTTCAGGATGCTTGCCAAGCAAAAGTCCTTCAGTTGTTTTTATAGAAGGTCTTGATTTGAAGTGTAGAAGAATTAAGTGACAAAAGATGGTGACAAAAGATGGCTCATCCTCATTGGAGATTGCAACTATTTTTTGCAATTGTATTTTGTTTGTTTTATAGGTTGTCTGGAATGCTTTGAGTCAAGATAGTCTCAGAAATGTAACAAGCAGGAAGTATGCGTAAGTAATGTAGTTGAACAGACCTTCTGTTACTTTTCTTCTATTACTGAATTAGATTCTTTAGAGTTCAGAAAGTATATCTTCCATTATGGATAAAGGGGTGACAGACAGTAAATTAAAGCAAATGGGGAGGTGTGAATCAGGAATTTGGATGAAACTAATTTTTCTGTTGGAAAAGTACACCAAACATGGATTTCCATCTATACGAGTTATCTGTTATTTCAACTGGGGAATGTGCAGTCATCATTATTGGGAAAAGCCTGTGCATACATGCATGCACACACTTGCTCACTCACTATCAAGAAATGCCTCTGATCAAGATCATTTTAGTGCAGGTTGACTTTCACTTTTATGAAATTCACCAAGACTTGGCATGGGATTGGAAGCTGTGGCTCTTTGGGGTATGGATTGTGACTAGAGGAAAAACTCCAAAGATACTAGTACGTTGTATATTTTTATAGCACCCTATATACCATGCTTTATGCTTTATGAAGCACAAGAGGGCAGGTTGTAGCTTAAAATGTGTGACTCAGCACAGAGGAGGCAAAAAATGAAGGCATGGGAAATGAGGGCAAATATACATGGGAATACTAGTTGCTGTAGAGCATGGGAATTGTGTCAAAGATTTCATTGAAAAGGGAGGCTTTTAAAAGGAATTTAACGATGTAAGAGAAATGGGCATCATGTAGATGTTGGGGAGAGATAATTTCATGTGTAAGGGACACCAGAAGAGAAGGTGAAGTATTTTGTAGGTATAGGAGACATTTAAATGATTGGGAATAGTAAGGCACAACAAACAGTCAAAGGCTTTTTTGTATTGGGATAAAAGGGGAGAGATGTGGGGTGGGACAAGAGCCTGGATGGCTTTGAAGGTCAGGAGCTTGTTTTGATCAGACAGCATGTAGGGGCTTAAGGTGGGATGCTGCATAGTTGGAGCAAGTGAGGTGAGCGACCATAGAATGCTGGATACAGGTAAGGATACCGAAGTGAGATGACAGAAAGCCATATGGGAGGAGGCTGCAGTAATCAAGGAAAACCAGCACATCAGCTGAGGGGGCAGAGAAGAGTCTGTGTTTTTGCTATTTAATTAATTGAAGTTTTTCTATGCTGTCCCATTACTAAAAGTCTCTGAACAGCTTACAAAAAAACCATAACAACCGCAATGTTGTAATTGTCTATTCAATGCCCACCGCTTATTTAAATTGTCATCATCTCTAGTCAGCAGGGAGAGATGATGAGAGTTGTAGGCCAAAACATGTGAAGGGCCGCAAGATGCCCTTTCTTGATTTGAAGGACATAGTGGTTATAGATGGTTCTTTTTGTATACAGTTACAAAAGCCTTCCCGGGTCAAGTGATTTCCAAATACCTATCAGCTTCAGTGAGCATGGGCTGTAACTAGAAATGTTATGTGCCATCAAGTTGTCTTTAACTTATGGCAACCCTGTGAGTGAAAGCCTTCCAAAGTAACTGTCCTTGACAGCTCTGCTCAGCAGAGTTGTAAGTTCAAGGCTGTGGCTTCCTTTATGGAGCCTGTCTGTCTCATATGTGGTTTCCTTTTCTTTGTCTGCCTTTGATTTTCCTAGCATGATTGTCTTCTCAAAGGCATCTCTCCAAAATTTGACAGCTTTAGTTTTGTCATTTAGCTTGATTTGATCCAGGACCGATGCGTTTGACTTTTTGCCACTCCAGGGTATTAAAAAGTTCTTCTGCAGCACCATGTTTCAAATGCATCACTTTTCTTCCGGATAGCTTCTTCAATGTCCAACTTTTCACACCCAGAAATACTAGAAATCAGAAACACTGGGAATTATAGTCAGAAACATCTAGAGGGCACATGGTTGGAGAAGACAGAGTTACAACTGATACTTTTGGACATCCCAAATGTTTACAAATACCAAATGTTCCTCTTATAGTTAAAATATACGTACACTAGGAGAAACGGTAACACAGAAAGTGCTTTGCTGCATAACCCCAAATGCCATCTAGCTTGTATTCCTGTCCATGTTTCTAAAAGTAGTACATGAAGATGGTGTCACTGGCCTGTTTTGTGGTGTTGGGAAGAACCTGTAATGAAATGTGGCCGTTTGGAATGTGCCTTCCAGGGTACCAGGTACATGATTACATTAGCCGGATGCTTGGGAAACAGGAAGATTATGCTGCTTGTTCAGCAAATGGAAACATAGAAACAGCGCGAGTGAGAAGGGGCCTCCTGGGCCATCTAGTCTGACCCCCAGCTGTAGCCAGCTCCGCTCACAATGTGCCTACCATGTGCAATAAGCATTAGCCTAGTTTCCAACCACTTTTTAAAGGCTTTTTTTAAAAAAATCTATCCTAAATATGTCTTTCAGATCTGAAGCAATCAAAGGTGCTGTTGTGGGTATTGATCTTGGCACAACCAACTCTTGTGTGGCAGTCATGGAAGGAAAGCAAGCCAAAGTGAGTAGAACCCATTGTCAGGGCAACATATATCTGCTGTTTGAACTGCTGCCCCCTTACTTGTTCTTTTTCTTGCATAGGTACTAGAAAACTCAGAAGGTGCCAGGACAACCCCTTCTGTTGTTGCATTTTCAGCTGATGGTGAGCGACTGGTTGGCATGCCAGCCAAACGACAGTCCGTAACTAATCCCCACAATACTTTCTATGCTACCAAGCGGCTAATTGGGCGGCGATATGATGATCCGGAAGTGCAGAAAGACATGTAAGGATTTTTTTAAAAATATTTTATGTATCATAGAAGCTGCAAACAAATGTATTTATGCTTGTTGAACTGTGCTAGCGCTAGATTTGTATCATTCTGGAGGTGGTCTGAAGTCTAATTGAAATAGATAAAAGCTGGTCTAGGTGCTGATTTGTGAGTGTAATTGAAAGTACACCTTGCACATATTGCTAATGAGATGTGTAGAAGGTTCTGACAGGTTTGGAAAGAACCATATACTTGCTCATTTGGGTTGAGATTAGAAATGGGTATGCAAGATGGTGGTTTGTGTGTAACCTCCATATTTATAGAAGAGGTTACCCCAACCAGGTGCCTTCCAAATTTGTTTGACCGCAACTCACATTTCCAGTCCCTACCACATCTGGAGGGCACCAGAGGGAAGGAGCTGTTTTAAATGCTGCCTGAGGGTACTTATGTTCTCCTTTCTGAAGAATAAGAAGACTAAACTAGCCTTCTTTCCTGCCTTCTGTTAAGCAGGGCCTCCTTAAACTTGCATGGGAGGGCTGTTTTCCCATTTCAGCACTAGAGGCTCCGCAGCTGGACTGGAGAAATGAGAACAGCTACGATTAATGTGGCACCACAGAAACATGGGGTAGTGTTGTAATGGCCGCTGCCCCTGCTTTCCCTAGTGAGGCTCCTTAATGCAAATTTTCAATACAAGGATTTGGGGATGGCTTTGTAATACTGGAATCTTCATGTGCTTGCTTTGCTACCTCATTAAGTGAATGTTTAGACTGATGTTGGTGATGGAATGTGTTGCTTTGGATTCTAATATTTTGAAAACGTTTGCACTTTCAGCAAGAATGTTCCTTTTAAAATTGTCCGTTCCTCTAATGGCGACGCCTGGGTAGAATCTCATGGAAAGCTGTATTCCCCAAGTCAAATTGGTGCCTTCATATTAATGAAGATGAAAGAGACTGCAGGTTTGTAAAGCTAAATATTTGAGTGCACATTGACCAATCGCAATTTCCCAGCCTAATGTTTGTCATAGGGTAGTTGTGTGAGGAGAAATGAGACAGTTTCTTTTATGCCAACATAAACTACTTGAAAGGACAAAATACTTAGCTGCCTTAAATTTGATCCAGTAGGCTTGGTCATTCCACTGGATGATAGCTGAGGCCTGGTTAGGGTAATGCATTGCTCTTGGCATTTAGCAACATTTGGCACCCCATTCATGGAACCCTTCTCTCCCAACCGTCTTGTCTGGACTTAGGAGACCCAGTTTTATGGTGATTCTAGTCCTTCCTTGCTAGTTGGTGCCAGAAAGTAGTGCTGAGTGACATCTGTTTTCTCCCATGGTCTTTGGGATGCTACAGAGCACTGTTTTATCTGCCATGCTGTTTACTCCTGTATGAAGCTACTTGGAGAAGTCACCTGGAGCTTTGGCCTTTAGTGACAGCAGTTTGCAGATGACACACAGAGTCTTATGCAGAGAAGAGGCAAAGCTAAGGAATACAGTGAAGCATTTGAGGAAATGTCTGAATGAGTTACTGGGATGGATAAGGGAGAACAAGCTGAAAGTCCAGCAATAGAAGTTCTGTGTATTAGGAAGTTGGTAGATCAGGATAGCAGGGTGATTCTTGTCCTAGATGGGGTTGCAGTCTTCTTAAAGGACAGTTGGTTAGCAGGACTCATAGATAATAGCTGTAGCCTGGAATGCTCTTTCCATATGTCAGCTAGTACATCAGCTGTTGACACCTATTTTGGATAGCTGAAACTTGCCTCAGTATTCCATGCATTGCTTACTTCTAGACTGGGTTGCTGTAGTGCACTTGATGTGGGGCTGACTTTGAAGATGGTCTGGAAGCTGCAGCCCCTACAAAATGTGGGCACCTGACTGCAGCAACCAGGGAATCTGAAATCAGAGAACTCTTAATTATGTGCAAGCCGCATTGGCTGCCAGTAAGCTTCTAGTTCCACTTCCAAAAGTTGGTCCTCACCTTTAAATACCTAAAGTGTTCAGGCTGCATTATTTGAAGCTGTGCATGTCTTCATCTGTACAATCTTGCCTACGTGTGAAGATCTTTGTGGGTCTTAGTTACATGCCTGTTAAGATTATGGTCTCACAAAATGATGTACAACCAGTCTTAAACAATTAAAATAGTAAAAATGTAAGCTGCAACAGTATAAATATTACTGCATAATAAAATACAAATAATTCCAGAACCAATCTGTTGAGCAATCTTTGTGTGTTCTGAAGTCCTACCCATATTTCAGAGTAGGAACCCAGTCAGATTGAAATCTGGTTTAAATTTTAATAGGCACTTTCTGCTTCCTTTCTAGAAAACTACTTGGGGCATCCAGCAAAAAATGCTGTTATCACAGTCCCTGCTTATTTCAATGATTCTCAACGGCAGGTAAGGTGGCTAACATCTAGTTTCTTTTATGGAGACATCATAGTTTATTGAATATGCATGTCAAAAGTAATCCCAAGAGGAATTCTATGGAGGAAAAAATACTGTATCAGATCTGGCCTTTTATGTGAACAAAGAGTGGTTACTATTTAGGTTTTTGTTTTCTTCCAAGGCTACTAAAGATGCTGGACAGATTGCTGGATTGAATGTTTTGAGAGTGATCAATGAGCCTACAGCTGCAGCACTGGCCTATGGCTTAGACAAGGCTGAAGATAAAATGTAAGCAAACACCAGGCTCATGCAATTTAACAACACTATTTTATATGTTCTAGAAGCTTGAACTCCATTACTTTACGCTTCCTTGTAGATCTAGGAGTAGATTTTACCTTATTGAATTTCTCAGGCTCTCAGTCCATAAGAAATATCTAAGCGTTGAACAAAACATTCAGTGTACTACAGTATAGACAAGAAAATGCTCGCAACCAAACTTAAAATATTATGGTGCTCATATAAACTAGTTGCAGATCAGGGAGCATTTCCATGAACAGTATTTTGAGCAAACAATGGAAACTCACCAGTGATGGTGCATGGAAGAGTTGCATTTTTTAAAAATGGCTTGGGAGCCACTATCTGAGAGACTGCCCTCTCAGATGAGCCTGCCTGGGTCCTAAGATGGTCAAGGGAGTCCTTTCAAGATAGCTGCCTTTAGAGACATGTTTGGTGGCTACTAATAAGAAGGCCCTTTCAGTGATTGTTTCCAGTCTATGGAATTTGATCCCAGGAGAAGGCTCAGTTTGCTCCCTTCCTGCTGGCAGGAAAAGGTTGCTTTAAGAAGTAGTGGTAGCTTGCATGTTATTGTAATATTTCTATTCTGTTGTCATTGTACTTAAATGTGTTAACTAGCTTTTATTACTTCCATAAGCCACCTTAAGTTCCATTTTGTGTAGAAAGGTGAGGCACAAGTAAAGGCAGTTTTTGCAGCCATGTTAAATGCTCCTGCTGTTAGTAGCAAAAAAGTAAAAGTATGACATAAATAAAAAATAGTCTCTATCTGGCAGCTTCTGAGCAAAGCTGTTTGCTGAAATTATTTCAACATTAGGGCTGCTTCCTACAATTTTCAGATAGGTGGTGGAATCAGAAGACTTTAAAGTAAAATTTCAGATAAAGCACAGATAAAGTTTTCTGGACTTAACAACAAAGGATAATTTCTTGCCAGAAATATAGGGAAAATGCCAAATATGGCAAGTCTTTTTCCATGCACTGTGACAAGTGTTGATACTAAATACTTGGATCTTCCTATTAAAAATCCATTATTTCTACTACCTTTATATTACTTTTTTCCCAGTTTTGACCAGTTTCTTATTAACGATTAAACAGATAATGTAGTCGTAATGGATTCACTCTGAATTTCTAAGATCAAAGGTAAGTATTCTCTTTTACTGTAGCTTTGATTGCATATATTATTTCAAATTGTACACCCCCCAAGAGAGCCCGTGGGCTGTGGGGTCGTATAAAAATGAAATAAAGGTTATTGAAAGGGGCAATTAACACTTTTTAGCCCTTGATTAATATGAGAAATTGGAGGTTCACAGAATGCTTAGTCTGAGTGCTGATATCTGCTTTTCTTTTCCTCTAGTATTGCAGTGTATGACTTGGGTGGTGGCACTTTTGATATTTCTATCCTGGAAATTCAGAAGGGAGTCTTTGAGGTCAAATCCACCAATGGTGACACATTCTTGGGTGGTGAAGATTTTGACCAGGCCTTATTGCGGCATATTGTAAAAGAGTTCAAGAGGGATGTAAGTAGTTTGTGTTTCATATTCTGGTCAAGGAGCAACTCCCAAGCAGCCCTTCAGTGTGTGAGTTTAATCTGAGTTGAACAAGAGACTACTCCTGCACAGAGCTGCATTTGAGTTAAATAGCTGCACCCTTGGCTGATGTTCAGAACAGTCAGGGAGGGGGCAGTAAAGGGGATATTGCATATCGCTCCTCAGGGCAACGTATCTGCATCTCTTGAATGTAGGATGGAGAGGGTGGCATTAATGAAATTAGCTTGGAACGAGTGTTGGGCATGATTCAATTAGGTGAGGGTCAGTGCACATAGGAGTGTTTCCTGCGTTCCTTGAAAAGTGCAGGGAAGAGGCTGAAGTGTCGCATGGCCATGGCATGAATCTCAGTTGTGATATATGGAGGCAGATATACTTGACTTGATTGTCCAGGTTTTTGACTCTCCAGTGGATGTCATGCAGGGGTGAGCAATATGTAGGGAGCATGTAGTCCTTGCCACCCTTGGTGCAGCTCCTGCCACTTCGTGAAACGTTGCATCATAGCAGCTACAAAGTGCCAAAACTGACAAATTTTGATCACAGACTCTTGTAACACTTAATACCAGTTGCTATGGAGCTGCTGGATTTTGGCAGCAAGTTGGCAATTTGTAAAAAATTGATCTCCCCCACCCCCATTGTGGCTTGTGGGGGTATGATGCATGGGATGAAAATGGCCTTCAGACTTCCCACAGTTGCCCATTCCTGAAGCAGAGCAAAGGCATGCTGCCGAATACCCTGCTTGTGTGTAAGTACTCGTGTGGAACAATCCAGAGAGGTAGAGGGATGTCTTGACCCATTCAGTGGACTCTCAGCCCCCAGTATGTTTTAGTCATGCTGGGAAAGATTTTACTGAGAAGCCAAGTCCAAATTCATACAAATTACTTGATGGGACTATATATATGTAAAGGTTGGGAATTCATATTTTGGGATTTACAGTGAATGGATTGCATGTTACATATATGTTGGCATTTCGCAGTAACACAGAAACTGCTGGACCTAAGGAAGGAGCAATGTAGGTGGGATGCAATTGGGTTGAGTCTGAAAATAGTTGCTTGGCAGCTCTGAAAAAGTGTTTATGTACCAAGATGGAACTGCAGTCTGGAATTTGTACTTCACTAGCTGGAGTGAAGTACAAATAATTTCCTGAAATATGCATTTTTTTTTGTTTTTGTTTTAAAGGCATTCCTAACATGACATATAAAAGTTCCTATAATACGCTGTGAATCAGTTATTTGTCTCAAGTTCTATAAAACATGTATTATACATCACATGAGATTTTGGATAGCCCTCTACTAAGTATTTATTTGTGCACGCATGTTCCTTATTACTATTAGTGCTGTAGTGCAGAGAAATCTGATCCTGATGGGCTGCTGTGAATATTGAGTGTGTAGCGAGTTGCGGATTTTTCATACCAACTATTTATCCTACTTATAGAAGACAGTGAAATGTATAGACTAGTCCTTTTGTTTTTCAGACAGGTGTTGATTTAACTAAAGATAACATGGCTCTACAAAGAGTGAGGGAAGCTGCAGAAAAGGCAAAGTGTGAACTTTCTTCTTCAGTCCAGGTAAGATAACAGAAATATTTCATGTTATACACAGGTCATTGCCTGCTGCCAGCTCTTGTACTGTATTTATTAATTTGACGACAGCTAAAGACATTGGGGAAAAGTCCGTGCCATTCAGTTCAAGCTCATTGCTGTTGTCTCTTGCCTTCTTTTTAATGCTTGATGTGATGTGTCTTGTCTTGCAGACTGACATTAACTTGCCATACCTTACAATGGATGCTTCAGGACCAAAGCACTTGAACATGAAGCTGTCCCGGTCTCAATTTGAGGGGATCGTGACTGATCTGATCCGGAGGACAATAGCTCCTTGCCAGAAAGCCATGCAGGATGCTGAAGTCACCAAGAGTGACATTGGAGAAGTGCTCCTGGTCGGTGGCATGACCAGAATGCCAAAGGTAGAATAGATTCCTTGTGACCTGATAGACTTTGGGCCCCATTGTCTTGGGACTGGCTGAGTGCTCTTTGGACCTTCCTCAGCTCACTAACAGCAAAAGTTAGTGAATAGGTTAATCAGTGGGGAGGGTTGCTGTGTGTTAAACATTGTCCTTGAGACAGAGTTTTCTGCTGCCTTTGTAGCTCATAAACTACAAAGTTAAACTTTGCTAACACTGAGGTCTGGATAGCTTGGGTGCTTTTCCAGATATAGAAGTTTTGAGGCCTTTCAGCAGTTCTCTTGCTTCCCTCACAGCTTGACAGTGCTTCTCTCAGTGAGAAAGCACCCGAAAGCCTTCTCCATGATTGACGAAGGCTCTGGGGTAATCCCCTTTAGCAATGAGAGGGTGCTACAGTCTGAAGGGCAAGGATCTCTCTGCATTTAGAGGGGAGCAAGGAAGAGCAGTAATGTCAAGGCATACAAGATTCCTATTCAAGGAGCAGTTTCTTGGTCGCAGATTTTCCTGCATCTCCAGGTCTGCTGTTGTACCCCATGCTTGTGGATACATGCTTTAACTGGACCGCTGTTGCCACATGTCTGCTGCAAGAGCTTTGACTGTGGCAGTTTTCCAAGTGTGGTGATGATTCACGCTGCAAGACCACATAAACATTCCATACATTTCTTCTAGCTCTTTTGTAATACAGAGTGGTGATCTTGCTGTACAGCAAAGACTATGAATAACAGAGCTGCTGTTCCTTATTAGTGCAAGATGGCAGTGTATATTGTCTGCAACTACAGCTGGATAATTCTGGAAATCCCTCAGCTGAAGGATGCATTTCCACTCTAGTATGGGGTGATGATTCTCCCCTGCGACCATATGTCACACATGCATTTGTGTCCCTTCAGGTGCAACAGACCGTACAGGACATGTTTGGTCGGGCTCCTAGCAAAGCAGTTAATCCAGATGAGGCGGTTGCCATTGGCGCTGCCATTCAAGGAGGCGTGTTGGCCGGTGATGTAACTGATGTGCTGCTGCTGGATGTGACTCCCCTTTCCCTGGGAATTGAGACTCTCGGGGGAGTCTTCACTAAGCTCATCAACAGGAACACCACTATTCCAACCAAGAAAAGCCAGGTGAGAGAGGGCTGTAGATGTTGCTTGATCTGAAACACTCTGTTTTGTGCCTTTGTGCTGTTAAGTCCAAACAGGATTCCTTCTGCTAATCCTATTCCTCTGTCTTGTGACCAGACCATTGTTTGCTTTCTTAGTCATTTAAAACATTTTTGTCCCATTTCTCAGTACAAACCACCCAAACCCTGCCACAGCCTTACTTCCTAAAGGAAAGGACTCAAAAGGTCTGGAAAAAGGAACTCTGTACCAGTTCTTGAAGTTACAGAGTAGGACTTTTAATGGTTAGCTGGAAGCAGTTCAGGAAGAGGAGGCGCCTGATGATGTCAGCCTTTCAGCCAAGGTGATGGGATGGCTGCCGCTTGGTGACAGGCACTTGCTCAGAGCCCGAGCATGGGCTTCCCCAGCCTTTTTGGAATGGTGGACACATTGGGACTTGCCTGGCTGAATGCACGAAATGCTAGGGAGTGGGCAGTTATCATTCATAAAACGACTGCCTTGGTGGGCATGGCTGGTCACAGAACACCCCCTTCCCAGGGAGGTGCTTCATTTTGCAACGTGCCAGGTTCCCAGGCTATCTTTTTAAAGTTTAAAAACTCACTAAATAACAGGAAAATTGGAAGTGGCAGTGCGGAGGGTGGGCTCCAAGGACAGAGGCCTCAGCTTCAGCAAAATCTGAAAGGAGTAAGGATTCTCGTTTTTTGTTTAAAGGCACTATAGCCTGCCCCTGAGCCTGCATGGCTTCCAGGGCAGTTCCCGTGCAATGCACCCAGTTGGACAGGACATGTTTGGAATCCTTTCAGCGCACCCGGCTACACAGCGAAGTGACTGCTCCACCATGGCAGCAGTAGCTCCTATCCATCGTTACTGGACATAGTGGAAAAACCATACACATAAATCGTGGGGTTGGGAATGTTGATTTACGCCTCGTAAGAGCAGATGTGGCACTTTTTCTGGCACTCACTGTGAACAAGTGTGTTTTGCTTTCCAGAGCTAATAGGGCAGGGAATGGGGCACTGTGCCACAACAAGTAATCACTTTGTCTCTCTGGACTTAGCTGCCTTCAGTCTTTTTCTTTCCTCACAGCTGCTGTTTAGTTCTCTAGCAAATCACTGCTCATCCCAAATGTAATTCCTGTCCACAGGTGTTCTCTACAGCAGCTGATGGACAAACTCAGGTGGAGATCAAAGTCCATCAGGGTGAGAGAGAAATGGCCAGTGACAATAAACTGCTCGGCCAGTTTACTTTGGTATGTTGGATGCCTGACTTGCGTGTATTTTTACCTGTGGTAATAGCTGTGGGAAGCCATTCCACTCCGCATGTTAGCTTGAAAACTCGCATTTGGAAAATGAAGTATTTTAGTGCTATTTTTGCTAAATAATGTTGATCTTAAAAATTGCTCTAGATAATCTTACCACTGTTTTGTTTTTCTAATGCAAAGTATAGACTCCTTGCAAGCTCTGCATCTGTACAGGATCCACTATACTACAGTTGTAGGGAGGAAGTGTGTAGTTGTAGCTCCTTATACTCTTGATCCAATCTAGGAGCTCTCCAGGGTTTCCTAGCGCTGTCTGTAGAATGTGAGAGATTGATTCTGGGATCTTCGGGTGCAAAGCAGGTGCCCTGTCTTCAGTTTAGCAGCAATTTATAAGTGGGGTTTTTGCCTCCGGTAATGGTGCTGGAGTTAGTTTATCTCAGTTACCTATAGAGAAGCATCTTTCCCAAGCTTGTCTTCTAGAAATGTTTCATAATAGGTCAGCTGCCTTTGTGTGAGTTCAGTCAGCTCTAGAATACGTTTTGTGCCGATGCTTAGTAGTAATCAGGGCATCCTCTGAGTGACAGCACTGTGCTTTGTGATTCCAGGTTGGGATTCCACCAGCTCCAAGGGGAGTGCCCCAGATTGAGGTCACCTTTGACATTGATGCCAATGGAATTGTTCATGTGTCTGCCAAGGATAAAGGCACAGGACGGGAGCAACAGAGTAAGTACAGAAATAGCTGCTTCTTTAAAGGGAAGGGTAGACAGGATGTGCCAAATGGTTGCTGCAATCTGGTGTTTGGAAACAGTAAATAGATTCTGGAACACACTGCCTCAAAAGCCTTGGTAGGCTTTTTAAAAAAGTGACACAAGCACATAACTTCAATTAAGCTAGAATTACATAGCTCAGTAAGCTTTAATTTTTTCTGGAAGAGCTTGGGTTCTTTACCAGAACCAGACAGTGTGTGCAAGGATGCAGTCATCAACACATCACTCTGAAAACATGTGAAAGATTTCTGTCTGAGCACAACACAGCTGAGAAGCGGTCCTCACCTGGCGTTGCAGTCTGTTGGGGGCATAGAATATATTCCTGAAAATGGCAATAAAATGTTAGCAGTAATAGAAAATGTCAGGTATGGAGGAGTCATGCCGCTTTTTTAACAAACAACTCTAAAAGGTGGGTTATAAATGTTCCAAATAACACTGCATTAAAGGTCAAGCAGTCATACATTTTGTTCTGCTCCTTATTATCTTGTTAAACACTGCAGGATTAGTTGGAATGCTGTGGAACTGGGCCTCAGCCAATCAGTATGTTGAAAATGTGTTGAAAAATGAGCCTTATCTGGTTAGATAACTTTAGATGAAAGTGGAAACTGCTGTTGATGAGTGCTGGTTTGTTAGTCTAGAGCAGACTTATCCTGGTGCCCTCTGTAGCTAGCAATCTAGTGGCTGATGGCTGGGGATGATGGAATCTCTAATTCATCACATCTGGAGGACATCAAGGAAAATAAGGCCATTCTGATAAACTTTATCAGAAGGGGCTACTTGCGCCAATAAAATATGGAGTGTATTTGAACCACTAAGTTATCCTTTGCGTGCAGTCTTGTATCCCTGATATCACATAGTCCTGTAACCTGAATACCTTCTCACATTTATTTAGTCGTGATCCAGTCTTCTGGAGGTCTTAGCAAAGATGATATTGAGAATATGGTGAAGAATGCAGAGAAATACGCAGAAGAAGACAGGCGAAGAAAGGTAACATTGTGGTGACTGCTTCTTGCTGATCAGTTCAAAATCTTTCTTCCCCACACAGCTATGCCTTCAGGGCTTTGGACCAGGTGTTTAGGGTGCCAAGCAAAAATCGATCTATTTCTACAGCCACTTTGGGAGACTATTTGGAAAGGCCTTCCAAATGAACAGAGTGTTTGTACTAGAGCATAGAGCTTTTCCCCAACTGGGAACTTTTTAGAAGTAAATAGGACAGAAGTAATGAATGCATATCTCCATCATTTTTTGTATAACTGCAGAAGCCTGACAAAGCTTATTTCCAAACTGTAGACTGTTAGCATTAATAGACTTGCAGTTAATAGTTATAGCATCTCAGAACTTCACTACTGGTAACTGTGAGTTGAGTGAATGGGCAGAAACAAACTATGAATCACTACAGAGTTTCCTGTTTAACATGGTCACTGTTTTTAAATTGGTGAAGAGCAGAACAGAATTGTAGGATAGACAGGTGGTTAGAGAAATTACATGTAGGTTTTAACACACAATAGCTGAAGCTCCCTGGGCAGTTTACATCACATAAAATACTGTAACAAAAGGACAAACAACAATCAGAACATCATAAAACTTGAAATCAAATTTTAAAACAAATGTTTAAAAGCTACAATAATTTATACAAATTAAATCTTAATTTAAGTCTTAACCTGTTGTCAGAAAGAGATTAAAGTTAGCACTAGGTGGACCTCAGTAGGGAACTTGTTCCATAGGTTGCGGGGGCCACCACTGAAAGGGCACTTCCCCTTGTTGCCACCATTCAAACCTCCTGTGAAGGTGGCAGTTGGAAGCACCAATTGGTGGTATTCACTGGCAAGATAGTTGCCCTTAGCAGCAACAAATATGTTTATAGGTTTGTCTGTGTTACTTATACCCTGTTCCAAGACAGGTTACGAAATTAGCTTGAGGCAATAAAGCATATTAAAAAAAAATAAAGTATGTAACACAACAAAATAGCAAATAAGCAATAACATCAAAACTATTCCATGGTAATATGCTACATTAATAGCTATTGTCTGGGGAAACAGAAATCTTTTTTTCAAACTGGCCAAATGGCTAGAACAGTGACTTAATTATCTGAAGGCTGTCATTTGAGAATCTCATTACATGAACCTTCCACAACCCTAGTGCCTTCCAGGTTACCATTGTCCTCAGCCAGCAGGGCTATTGGCTTTGTCAGGTAAGGATAATGGATTTGTAGTTCAGCACATTGAGGACAGGGGGAGACAAGAGTGGAAAAGGCCATTACAGATAACTGGCTATAAATGAATCTGGTAGCATGCAGACATTATTTGGAGGCATGCTTGCTTTTTTTTTTTTTTTTTGGAAATTCATGGGAAATGGGTGTAGAATTCAGAGCTGTGAAAACATAAAATTGGAGCCTTTGTTTGCATCCAAACCATGTTTGAAAGACTTTCCTAAGACTAGGTAGGAGTCACTGAGGCCATGTCTTTCTTTGACAAGCGAGTGATGCCAACTTCATTGTCATATTTGTGATCCTCATAGCCATGGGGGCTTTATAGGCACAAAGTGGGTTTCATATTCTGCCTGATCAACATTGTTTTTCCCAGGAACGTGTCGAAGCTGTAAACATGGCAGAAGGAATAATCCATGATACAGAATCCAAGATGGAAGAGTTTAAAGATCAGTTGCCTGCTGATGAGGTAGGTGCCCCCTGCTGTCCGGTAGTAATTGTCTTCCTTTGTCTTAATCCAGTTAATGCATATAGATTTAACTGTGTATCTGGGTGTGTTCTGAACATGCTTGCCTTTTCAGTTGGTTCGGAACATACAAAACTAATTCCTCTTCATCTTTATAATCCTGCATAGCAGTTTCCTGTCCGTGCTAATTTATAACTGAAGATATTAAGCAGATTACGATTATGTGAGGCTTTAAACAGTTCAATCCCAGAAAGCCTTAGCAGAGAAGATAAATGCTAGCTTCCTTTCAATGAACTAAAATGAAAATGAGCTTAAGTTTTTTGATATATTGATAGTATTCCTTATATGCAGAAGTGCTTTAAAGGCACAATGGGGATGAACTCCAGAAAGCTCAAATTACTGGCCAGGGATGCTATTCTATTAGTTACTAGTGAAGCCAGTTATGTTCCCTTTCTTGAAATCATAAATCTTGATGAATTATACTGCTTGCTTCCAACTATGGAATGGAAGAAATAACTATGCGGCTGGGATCTTACAGAGAAGATTAAAAAAGATCCCCCCATTGTCTCAAAATTTCCATAAACTTAACATCTGTAATCTTTTGGGAAGAGTTTTGAAAGAAAAATTGCGTAGCTTTCTGACGACATCTCAAAACAAAATATTTCACAATCCATCATCATTCCATGTTTCTGATGGGAGTGTTGGACTAACATTCTGCCCAAAGGCTCTACTGGCTGGGGCTTTCCTGGCTCCACTTGCCAACACCTTGCCTACTCCAACTACAAATTAAACCATCTAGTATCCATAACTGAATTGTCTTTCTGTTAACAGTCTTCATAAACAGGCTTAAAATCCAACTTCCCACCTGCTTCTTCCTCTGCTGCTGCTCTGATGGTAAAAATTGTGGGGCAGGAAGGTTTCCTTCCCCAACCCAAATGCCTGGCTCATCCATTACAGCAGCCCAGGCACTCTAGAAAACACCATTCCCAGTGCTCTTGGCTTTCTCCTGCCACACCAGGATAGAAGGAGACCACCTTGCTGCCAGTAGAAGAGCAGCAGCAAAGCAAGTGGGTAGCAGGAGGAATCCAACTTGACTGGATGCCTGGTGATATCATTGAGGGCATGGCAGAGTTTGGCTTGTATTTAAGCTTGGAAGAAAGTATGGTTGGCTTTGTGTAGGCTAAAGATGCAATATTTCCAGACATTTTGGTGGGGATCTCTGACTGTGGGGGTGGCCGCTTTAGATGTCACAACTTTGCAATGATGGCATGCCTCAGTCTGCATGCTTCTGCTCTTCAAATAGACACCAAAGGCTTCTGTACCACTTTGGAACAGTGTGAACCCACCTCCCCACAAGGAATAGCCTCTTCTGCACAGTCCACTGTGGAATCTAGAAGTGGTGGGGGGGGAGGTACTGACACATGGTACAGAGGCTGATGCAGAACCATGTTCTTGTTGGGATCTCCACTCTCCCATGAGCAGTGGGGGGTGCTATTTTGGAATAAATTTAGGTGTCAGTTATCAGCAGTAAGAGCAGCTTATATCTGAACTGCGATTTAGTAGCTTTTTCCTGTTGGCACGAAGGAGGGTAGCTCAGTTTCAATCCCCAAGCTTCTTTTGGTGACGATGCCAGTAAAATCCAATGTCAGCAATATGGCCTGCTAATGTTTGGATCTGCCCAACAGGAGCTGGCCATGCCTTGCTAATTGGGTTTATTGAGGTTGAGGGAGACCACCTTTCAGCAAAAAGCAGAAATGATGATGGCTGTGTTTTTCTGCAATTGCTTTTTTAGTGCAACAAGCTGAGAGAAGAAATTGCGAAAATGCGTGAGCTGCTCGCTCGTAAAGATAGCGAAACAGGGGAGAACATCAGGCAGGCAGCCTCCACTCTACAGCAAGCATCCCTGAAACTTTTTGAAATGGCCTACAAAAAGGTAGGAAGGCGGGGAATCCTTGAAGTATGTGTGCTCCTGGTTTTAGCAATCAATGGCAAAGTAACTCAGTACAACCATTGGGTTAAAAAAAAGTTAGAAGGCTACAGCTGAGCATTGCTTAATGCTTCTATGCATATATAAAAAGCAAGCATGGCTGATTTTTGGAATAAAAAGTGACTGTTACTGAATGTGGCCTTGAATTCATCAGTTCCAGATTGCTAGGTAAACACCTAGATATGTACCATATATTTAAATATTGGCAAGTTTCCTTTTTTTATCCTATGGAAAGCACCTCAAGCCAGGGCTGGGCAGTGTCAGGCCTGGGGATCAAATCTGGCCTTCTAGGATTCCCTAGAAGGCCATGTCACTTCCCCCTGGCCCAAACCCCTTTACTCCACCACCCATCAGTTGGTTTCTCAACTTTTCAGCAGTTGTGTCCTGCCTCCCTTGCCTTACTCTGTTATAGAAGACTGAAACAGCCCCCCCCCCCCTTAAAGATTACTTCATTGGTAGCAAAGGCTTTTAGGTGAAGTAAGCTGGTATGTTCAGACCCAATCTCTTTTGGTTTTGGGTTCCACCTCCTTTGGTTCTACTCACCACTGGAATGCAGCTCTCAAGAGCTTCTCCAAAATGGAATTCAGCCCTTGAATTGAAAGAAGCTCCCCACCCATTCCTTAAATTTGTGTATTGCATGCTGGTTCAGGATTACAGGCTCCTCAGCTCCTTGACCCACCCCCAAACACCTCTTTATACCTGAATGAACTGCTCATTCATGCCCTCGCCAAACATCATCTTCCCTTTGTGTCAGCAAATGGCACAAATGCAAGTCTGTATGCTAGGTGTTTTTTTTTTTAAGGGTGATATGCCCATTCTTCAAGGGCCTGAATTTCTAGGAATATAGCATTCTTCCATGGTGGTATCTGTTGAATTGAGGATCCTTGAAATAGTACTAGGGGATCACAATTAAAATATTGGGAGTGATTTTCAGAAAAGAGCAGTCAACAGCTTTTGACAGAGGAAAGCAAAACAAAAAAGATGGCAATAATGACCCCAAGTCCTAGTCGGAAAGAACTTGCTCGACCAAAAGCAGTGTTGGGATTGTGCCTTGCTGAGCTAACATCATGTGTTTCTTTTCTCCCCTTCAGATGGCATCAGAGCGGGAGAGTTCTGGGAGCTCCGGGGATCAAAAAGAAGAAAAGCAATAACTTCTATAGACTGCAGCAGGAAGAGGACAGTGTTCCAAAGCTTAGGAGGCAAAGGACCTTCCTGAGCAGCTGTGGGCAAATTTATTTCTTACTGTGTTTTTGCAGTATTCTATACATAATTTCCTGAATGTATACATTTAGTGATGGTGTCAACTAGTGAAATTACCTGATTTAAAAGAAAAAAAATTAATGCAAGACAGCTCCCTAGGGTGAATGACATTTTCCAATTCAGCCAAAAGATCCATGGAGCTCTTCTGAGTAGAAGGGGGAAAACAGTGTGGTAATTTCTGAAGGCTTAGAAACTGTGGCACTAATGCAAGGTGGGGCAGCTAGGATTCCTGTTGCCAGGACTGCTTGAGTTTCACCCTTAATAATGGATGCTCCTTTTGGGAAGAGGTTTCTGCTTCAGTATGAGGGGATTTTAATAGGGCCTGGGTTTAGTTGAGGCTGGGCAAACTGCTCGGATAGAGTGTGTGTAGCCCTGCACCTTAGGGCTTAGCATCGTCATCTCAAAGGAGGTGGATTGTTTTAATGTAGCTGTAACTATAAGGCTAGTCTGAAGTGTCATGCACTGCTTCCCTGCTCTTGCCTAGTGTCATTTTCTCCTTGCAGAAAAAAGGCTTCCCTTATTAAAAAAATAAAAATCTTTCTTGATCTAGCATGTGTGTCTGTCAATAAAGGCTCAATTTCCATCCCTGTCTTCCTACCCCAACTTGTGATGCTACCTACTACCACCTCTCTGAGAAGCTGTACATACTAGAGACTTCACTGTCTAGTACCATGAAGATTTTTTTCACTGTGGTACAGTGCAGACACTTTATCTCCCATCTTACTATACCACTTGAATCGAGTTGCTCCTGAGGAAGCCAGGTGTATGTGATGCTGCTCATGTGCAGCAGGACTCTCTCCTGCCACAAGAAGCAAACACTTTCTTAAAGCAACCAGAAATGCACCAGACACTCGTTCTGCAATGGAACCGGTCAGTGGAGCTAGCTAAACTCTCCCACTCTGGAACTAGCAATTTGGCTCATTCTGGTGTTGACCTAGAAAGTCCTCGTGTTTTGTTGTGCCAACAAGACGTGCCAGTGGTACATCAGCAGTGTTAGCGGCTGTCGTGTGCCTTCACATCTTAAGGTACTTGGGGGTTTTCTGTTTGTAAGTAAGCAGGTGATTCAGACCAAGTGGTTAGTAAGTGAATCTGGTCCTACAAGGTTTGGGTTCTCTGCTGCAGCAGAGCCATTCCAAATCATGTACTGAGTCAAATTCAAGTAAGTGAAGAAAGTATTGTTGATAGTTGGCTTTATTAACAGTAGCATATGTTTTACTTCTGACATAAAAGGTGCCTCCAGCTCACCTTAAAATCGCAGAACTAAACTGCCCTATACCCATCAAGTGAGACAATAATGAAATAAATCTTAGTTTGTTTCCTGCTATATGGGCATGTTTCTCATCCAAGTATTTTTCCTCACACAAATGCATGCAGATCTGAGCTACTAAAACTTGCATGAATGGCTAGGATTTTAGAAGTGTTTGCTTCCTGTTGTGCCAGGAGTGGGTCCTGCTGGTACACAGACACCATTAGGTATTTTATCACACAGTAGTAATGAGTAGATGCGAATTACTACATTTTATATCCTAACTTTGGAACTCAGGGTGGATGCATACAAGCACTAACTAAACACAGACCTACTCAGCTTCAAAGGGTTGCCTCATGTGCTGTTAGAAGGGGATTTTCTGTCCCTCTTAGAAATCTCATTCCACCAGGCAGGTGCACCCTATTTTCCTATTCCATTTAAAATTACAACCACTCTGCAAAGCAGGAGCAAAAACACAAGGGAATAGTCACAGAGAAATGAAGCTACCTGCCAATATTGGGTGGGGGGGGCAGCTATGCACCCTGGTCTTTTGCATGTTTTGCCAAAGTCAGAAACTTATGCTAGGTGAGCCTACCTCTGCTAAAAAGTGCTGAGATAGAATACATCTAACTACTTGCGAAGTATCTAGCAACTGTAGAATGCACAACAAAAATCTTATTTCTAGTTCCTGAGCAAAGCAAAAGCCTAACCTGAAAGAGCAGGAAACTAGAAAGAACTCACATTTTACAGAATGTCTGTGGACTAAATATTTTGTGTCAGTAAGTAAATGAAATGTAATTGGCTTCCATGCTTCTTTCAAAAACTTCTTGAAAGCACAATTCAGCTACATGCTATCTCTTGGAAGAAAGTATAATCTGAAATTGAAGATATGCCCCAGGCCAGTCAAAAACCTTGAATGAACCCTGAGTTTTTGGCATCTATATCTCATAGCTGACTTGTTGCACTGCATTGGTTCATAGCCAGCAACTGCTGCTAAATCATGCCTTCCTAATGTGACAGAGTCAGAGTGAATGTTGGTGTGTTAAACCAGCTCTCAAGATGTGCTCTAGGAGCTATTTTTCATGGGAATTAATTTAACAGGATTCCTACACCATTAACGAATGAATCAGGTAAATAAGACAGGTGTGACATACAGGTAGGTGTACTGTGAATGGCACACATGATGAGGCCTTTAACTGATGAGGCCTATTGGGTGTCATCAGCAAACTGCTGGCACTGAACCCACAAACTCTGGACAAACTATCCTTGTGATTTTATGCAAGTATTAATAGCATCAGGGACAAAACGGAAGCCTGAGGGACACAATAGACGAACAACCACAGCATTGAACAAGAATCCCCTCGCACCACTTTGGGATTGTTCCTTCAAGTCCCATGTCAGAGAGGTCACAGAAAGATAGAGATTGAAGGCATCAAAAACCTCCAAGAGGTCAAACAAGCCAGTAACATACACTCCTTGTGTAGTTTCCAGCATAGATTATTCACCAAGGTGGTTAAAGCAGTTTCGATCCCATAACATTACCTGAGGCCAGATGGAAATGGAACTAGATAATCCTCATCTAGAAATCCCCAGATCTGAGAATACACCACATGTTTTAACACTCTGCCCAAGAATTGGAGATCAGTCAGAAACTCACCCAAATGTGGTGGGTTCATGGAGAGTTTTTAAAGCAAATGTCTCACTTCTGTCACTCTCAGACAAGATGGAATCACATCTTGTGGCAAAGAGGTGCTAGCTGCTTTGAAAGCTAGGAAGGCTGAGGTTCCAGTACACAAGTGGTAGGCCTCACATTTCCAAGGATCTACACCCTCAGACTACAAACAAAGCATCCATTATGATAGATAGTATAGATTGTACAGTCAACAGACAAGACTGGCCACAGTTTCACTATGGCAATGCCCCAACAAATAAACACTTGGAAAAACACAACACTGCCTTTTCACATTTCAGGAGGTGGGCTGTTTTGAATCAACACTGCCAAAATAGATATTGTAGATACTGTACAGCAAAGAGCAACCAAAATGATCACTGGACTAAAGCTATTCCCTTATGAAGAAAACATTTAGGGTTGCTTAGCTTAGAAAAAGCGTGTGTAATAGAGGTGTATAAAGCACGAACAGGGTGGAGAAAGTGGATAGGGAGATTTACAGTTTCTGTACTATGTCATTTACTACCACAAGATGTAGTGGTGGCCATTGGGGGAACAGAATACTGGTCTAGAGAGGCTTTTGGTCTGATCCATCAAGGCTTTTCTTACGTTAACTATGGGGTGGCCAGTTGGAGTGTCAATTCTATAGAATACACCCATACAGCCAGTCCCATTTGTGTGGGACTGTACCTTTAAAACACTGGTGCACTATGTGAGGAACTCACAGAAAATAGCACTGAAAGATTGTCATCTTTGTATCTCACTCATGTCCCCAAGTAGCATATGTTGGAAACAGTAAACTAAGTGGATCTTTAGCATAGTCAATATTCTTGTTTTCTTAATAAATTCATGGCACACCTGGCTGTCAGCAGCTAATATATTATGCTAGCCCAATGTCAGGCATTTCTGGATGGCCCAGATTACCTGAACTCATATGTCTCATTTTTGGGACTGAAACAACACTGGGCATTCTGGTGCATGAGTTATACCAGATGATAGTTGAAGTGCCTTCCTGCTGATCATTTTGGAACTTTCAACAATTTCTATACTCTTTGCCCTGATAATATTGTGGGTTTTCTGAGTAGAGTGGAAATCCAATACCCAGAATCCAGCTCTGCTTCTGTCTAATTAACAGAATCTGAAAGATGGGGCAGTAGTACTCTTGCTCTGCTCCACAGCACATGCCACTGAGTGATGCAGGGATCTATTTTGACTTCCATGCAAGTTTCTGTCTTCATGAAACCATCGAGTCCGTTTGTTCCATGTTTACTTCAAGGGATCTTGATATACTGCATTATTTTATTCTAATATAAGCTGCCTTGAAAACCGTAATGTAGAAAGATAAAACGTGTTTCAAATAAATAAGTGGGCAGTGTACCCCTTGAGAGTCAAGTTTTAGGGCATATTCAGGGGAAGGTTTTCTCCATGTTGTCCGGCTTGGGGGTTTCCCAAAAGCAACTGGCTGGACACTGATGGAAATGGGAGAATGGCCTATGCAGGCACTTGAGCTGCTCCAGTAAGATAATATATCCACACTACGTAGGAATGAAACCCCTATGGCTGGGGAAATGTTGGCCTTCCAGATGCTGGACTCCAATTTTTATCAGCCCGAACATGGGGATGATGGTGTTGCAAAAGCAAGTCCATCGAGGAGTTGTTACAGCCTCTTGATTTAGCGAGAGGAATTTGCGGAAGTGCTCTAATTCCAGCTTCGTGTGCTACGTTGACATCGGACATTGGTTCCTGCAAACAAACGCCCGGCCCTGATTGCCAGTAGCGCCCCCGCCCTGCGCGACTCCCTTGACTCATGGCTTCTCCACGCGTTCCCGAGAAAAAGTGTGCGCGGCCCTTTAAAGAATTCGCACCCAAACGCGAATACCGTCGTAGAGGCCGTCAACGCGAGATCGACACATCCGCCCTTGGTGACCCCTGCAGGAAACTACACTTCCCAGCATGCAAGGCGTAGTAAATGCAATGATGAGACATTCTAGCGTCGCTCGAAGAAGCCACCAAATGGAGAGAGAGCGAGAGAGAGACCGTAGCCAATGAGAAAAGGAGAAGTGGCGGAACGCTTAATCCATCGCCTCACTCAAACGGGGTTTTTTTTTTTTTTGTGGAGGACCGGAAATGAGGTCAGAGGCCCCATGTGAGGCGATTGCAACACATGCAGCGCGGAGGAGAAGAGAGAGGGAGGGGGGAAGAGCAGGAGAGGCGGAGGGCGAAAGGAAAGGAAAGGAAGGAAGAAGCCGGTTAACGACGTCACAAGCGCCGTCGCGCGGAGCCCTTCGCTGTCGTCCGGAGAAGGAAGGGAGCGGAGAAGGAGGCGGCGGCGGCGGCGAGGCCTGAGGTGAGCGCGCGTACATGCCAGCCGTCCCGTCCGCTCGTCCGTCAGTCAGTGAGAGCGAGAGTGGAAGCGCGGAGGGAGGGCGGCTCTGGTGCTGCTGCTCACAGTCCCAGGGCGAGGGCGTGAGGAAGACGGTGTGGGCCTGACCGGGATTAACGGCTTTACTTTCTCCCCTTCTCCCCCCACCCCGGTCCCTGTATCTTTCCGTGTGGCGGCCTTGCTTGCTGACTACAGCCGCAGGAGGGGCGGTGGAGGAGGAGGAGGAGGAGGAGGGAGAAGATGGCGGACGATCCCAGCGCTGCCGACAGGAACGTGGAGATCTGGAAGATCAAGAAGCTCATCAAGAGCCTCGAGGCCGCGCGCGGGTGAGGAAAGCCCTCGAGGTGGCGGCGGGCAAATAGTCTAGTTCTCCCGCGCGGGGGCTGGGAGGGAGCAGCCTTGCATATTGGGCTCCAAGTGGTGCCGGGGGTCGCTCTCCTTTCCACGTCCCTCCCTAATCCCTCGGCGTTGGAAACCAGAATATCAGGGCGGTGGCCACGCTGGAATCCCTCTCTCTCGACTCCTTATTTTTCTGTACAGTGTGATGTTCCTGTAGAGAGGAGCGTTGAGCATGTGAGCCTCAACGCACGCGCACCTAAAATCCGAAATGATACGATCCATAATGAGGTGGGGTGCCCTTTGGTGAGAGCTCAGCTTTAGATCCTGTTAAGAGTTCTTTTGGGATCAATATGGAGTCATGGTGCATAGAGAGCATCACAGAAAAGTCCATTTTTCTCTTTCACGGTAGTTTTATATGTTCAAGAGTTTTTTTTTTTTTTTAGTATAGCAGAGCATTCTATATTGTAAACTCTCAGCTACAGTCTGAGGCAGTCCTCACTTCAAATACAAGTAGAACACTCTCAGTGTAAGCTAGACTGAGTTAGGTTCTCCTCATACCTGAAAGAAGCTTTTTTTTCTTGTTTCTTTCTCCCTTGGACACACGAATGTCAACCAATCCTGATTTCTTTTTCCTCCCATCATATTGGGTTACACACAGCCCACAGTGGAAGACAAGTAATGTTTTAAAAGTGGTGAAAGACTAACTCTTAACTCAGTTAAAATGTTGTATTTTTTCCTTAATCCTTTGATATCTAGCATTCATTTTCTTCCTAACTTTTCTACATATGAAGCAGGGATTTTAAAATGCATCCCTGTTGCCATGGTATATTTTTTTCTCTCAATGCTTTAACAGTGTAGGGCATATAGGTGGGGCAGCCCTCTTTCATTTATTTAGCCTTATGGGGTGTGTGGATGGTTTGTTCTGTCTTCACTGAATAACATGTTAGGACTTGTTTGGCAGTCATTCTTTTTGAAAGGGGCATGAGTTTAGAAAAAGTAATTTTTGTTAATATGTGTCCAAAATATTAGCACTCTGATTATACCTGTGAATCTTTCTCCCTGGAGTTAGTTTTCTCAAACGAGCCCATTTTGTGTCCAAATCATAGTCAAGCCAGTGGTATTTTTATCAGTGGATTCTTGAAGCACTACTGGAAGGCCAGCTGTCTACAAATAAGATTGCCAGGCAACCACCTGGGAGTCACACCTTTGTGACAACCACCTGTCCCTATTCTCCCAGTATCCCTCATCTTCACTTCCCAACTTTCTTCATGTGTTGAAGGAAGTGAGAAGGGTTGTCTTGTTTCCTCTTGCCTTGGAAAGACAGATCTTTCCTCTGTCCTCTTTGCATAGACCCACTCTTTCTGAGTGTCAGCACACACAGTTTGAAGTGAGAGTGACCCTTTCTTTTCCTGAATCCTATGTGTGTGCCAGAGGACTTGGAAAAGGTATAAATTAAATGATCAGAAATAATAGTTCACCACAAATGCAAGCCAGAACTTGTGCACCCTGGTATAGAGACTACACATCTGTAAATTATCCCGCTTCCAGACAGGCATGACAAGTTTTTTAACTGATCAGCTAGTGTCCTACATACATGTAGAAGCCTTATATTTGCCATTTTGTGAGTTAAATTATATATTAAAATCCAAATTGCTACAAATTTTGTTTGTTCCTTGTAGGCTTGTTTGTAATGACCTCAGAGCAACTAATATGGTAGGCAGCTTGGATTTAGGAAAAGTTATATGAAGTATGTACTATGTGGTATTAAATTATTGCTCTCATCTTGAAATTATCTAAAGTTAATATTTGATATGTGACTGGCAGGATTTTTAGACAACCTAATAAAAGACCTGATTTGCCATATCAGAAACTTACTTAATTATACCAATCATTACATTATCCTTTGCCAACCTAGTATTCTGCAGGTATGTTAGACTGCAGCTCCCGTCATCCCCAAGCTGGGAAAGAAGGGAGTTGCAGTCCTGCACCTCTGCAGAGCACCAAGTTGGTGAAGATTGAATTAGAGTTTCACAGTGCAAGTTTTTCTTGGTGTTCTGTTTGGTGCGTGCCCAGCTTCATAGCTTCTGAAACTTGAGGCACTGGATTATTTTGCTTAGGGACCTGTGAATTTTATGTTACTTCTTTCAAGTGTAAAGTTAAATCCCAATGGTATATGTGATCCATTAGACCAATTCAGTGGCAACTCTGTATGTTTAATTAGAGCTTAATTGTGCTTCTTTCAGTATACTAGTACTTATACCACTTACAGAAAATGAGAGAGACAGCTTTTAGGCAATGCTTTCCCATACTGAAGGACAGCCAGCAACCCACATATAGGAAAACCTTTTCCTAATTTCTGCTGGTATTTAATGTGCTGCACCTGAAAAATGGGTTGCTATTAAATATAGAGCAGAAGGATAAGAAATTTGGATTGGTTAGAAACTTTGTGTATGCAGTGTAATAGAATGTAGAGTGGAGGTTCTGTATGATTACAGTGGAAAAGGTCAGGATCCAAAGAGTCATGGGCAGTGTTTTGAATAGATTAGCTCAGCCTTCTAATGGCAGCCATCTAAAAGCTTTGCTGAAAGTATTTTCTGCATGTTTTCTTTGCTCTCTGGATCCCACCCACTTTGTGTCCTTGCTGATACAAGAATTAAGGCATGCCACTAGTTGGGATACTCTTTCCAGATAAAAAAGTTTGATAGCAATCAAAAGCCAACAGAAGAGGTCTGCCTATGACTGTTACTAGTCACCATACAGTATTTTAGGCTGCTGAAGCTGCACATTAAGATTTCTGGAGAATGGGGTTAACAATCTCACAAGTAAATAAAATAGGATAGTAGGAATGTGTGCATGTGTTCAAAATGCAAGGTAGCGCTAAAAGAGTAATGTCAAGAGGCAGCAACTGGGGTGCTGTTTTTCAGTGGACTGAAAATGCCCTGTGGGCATTTCATCTATGAATCCCATCCTTCTTGGGTATGGCATTACAAACTCCATTTGTCCCAGTTGCTTTGTGTCAAGCTCTAGATAAATGTCACATTCCAGTAATGTGCGGGGTTAGATCCTGCTGTCAGTATAGGGAATAGGCAGAGGTAATACTTTAGAGTGAGGCCTGAGTCTTAAAGCATTATATTGAACTTTGGGGTCTGATACTCCTCTCTTGCAAACAATATGCAAAGTTGTTCCATCACATCATTAGCTATACCTTCATTACAACTATATCATGAATTGTTGTAAAAGTATAGATGAACTTGCCCATCTTTGACTTGCTTTAAAAAATAGCAGTTGGACAATAAGCCTTTTGTCTCTGGCATTGCACTTTTTCAAAGAAAGATATGTTCCTAAGAACATTTTGCAGATACTAATATTAACTTTTTCAACTTTGTGGTTTTTTAAAAGCTATGTGTAGCACAGCGAGGATAAATAAACATATTTGTACTGCCAGAGAGGACTCTGACAAACAACTGAGACCCACTTTGAGTTTGATGAACTATGCCTTATGGCTCTTGTTTTAGCCTTGTATTTGACTGTTAATAGAGAGCCGGTGTGGTGTAGTGGTTAAGAGCATGGGACTGGGACTCAGGCGATCTGGGTTCTAGTCCCTGCTCAGCCATGGAGCTACCTGGGTGACTTTGAGCCAGTCACAGACTCTCAGCCCAACCTACCTCACAGGGTTTGGATTTTTTTTTTAATTTATTTTTGGATTTATATCCTGCCTTTTTCCTACAAAGGGCTCAAGGCAGCTTACATCATTATTCTCCTCCATCTTATCCCCACAACAACAACCCTGTGAGGTAGGTTGGGCTGAGAGTCTGTGACTGGCCCAAAGCCACCCAGTTGGCTCCATGGCTGAGTGGGGACTAGAACCCACATCATCTGAGTCCCAGTCCCATGCTCTTAACCACTACACCACACTGGCTCTCCTAGGGTTGTTGTTGTGGGGATAAGATGGAGGAGGAGAATGATGTTAGCTGCCTTTAGCCCTTTGTAGGACAAAGGCAGGATATAAATAAATTTAAAAAAACCTTCCAAGTAAATGTATATCAGAACGGTACTGTTTAGCTAAGAACACACATTGTTGCGTGTGCTGTGGCTTGTTTTCTTTTCTCCTTGTGTTCTTTTCTCCAATTTTCTAATGCCTAGTAGCTTATGTTTAGGATACAGATTGCTGCAAAAGCAAAATGGTCTCAGAACATTTAAAAAAATGTAAATAGGAAATAGGTGAGTAGAGATTCCTGCTAATCTGCTTTATGAAGTTATCCACCCCAGGCAGCCCAAAACAATATTCAGCATCATCAGGCTGTGCACTCAGCATTGGATAATTATCATGCCATCCTGATGTGTTTTGACTTTTGTCAGCTAAACTGTTGCCTGAGCAGAATAGTACTGCAGGTTTGCTTTGAAATAAGTATGTATGGTAACAAACAAGTAGAAATTCTTTTTTTCCTGTCTTCTGGGGAAATTGGTGTATTTTTTAAGGCAAATGCAGAAGAATTGATGTGAACTCTTGCATTTAGAATTGGAAGGTGTGGAAAATGTGTATTATAGAAATGAGTGCTATACTGCATTCAGGAACATCATAGGTTGAGGTCTTTGATTTTTGTTGATTCTCTTCCACAGCTGCAGTCCCTTATATATCATGTAGCATTTCTGAGGATCTCTGAACCCAAGCAACAGCTAGGTGCTGCAGGTGGAACTGTATCTGTTTGGACAGTATCCAATGCTGCTCATGTGCTAATAGAGCCTACCACTAGCACAACAGGAAGGTAGCAGTTCCTAAAGCAATCAGAAACGAGCCAAAATACTCATTTCTAGGATAGGGAAGATCAGCAGAGCTTAGAGAAGTTTTGGTTCATTTCGGGGTTGCTTTAAGGTATCAAGGCTTCCTGTTATACTACTGATGTTGTTGTTGTTGTTGTTAGTCGCGAAGTCAAGTCCAACCCATCGAGACCCCATGGACAACATTCCTCCAGGCCTTCCTGTCCTC